AAAACTGCGTGTACTTTATTTACAGTTATGTTCCAATACCTATCACCTGTGTTAGACAGTCTACTTCTACTCTACACCAGTCTCAAAGTGCCACCATCTGTCGCCCTGATTTTGTAAGACTTTGTTAAGCCTTCTGATGTTTGCATTCTTTCAACAAACTTTCTCACACACAGTTCTGTAAATAACCTATGTTTTGCATTCTTTCATGGAGGTGGAGAGAATTGATGGACCCTTGGTCTGTCCAGTGGCATTGGAGAGGTGGCACTGTCACCCTCCAATCCACTGTCACCTTTGGAAAACTATAAATGTTGGAGTCAGAAAATAAAGTTCTTCTTCTTCTTCTTTTTGTTCCCCTCGAAAGCAGCAGCGTCTGTGTCATCATTTCGTGTCTTATCACAACAACCATCACCCAGAAGATGGAGGCTGGGAAGAAGAAGGAAGAAGAACAGGACAATGCCCAAATCCTCCATCTTGCCTCCTAGACCCCGATAGTAAAAACTCTTCAAAATTCCACTTTTCACCTGGTGAAAACCACTATTATGCTACTTAAACTTTTGTAACTTGTAATTCTTCATATAAAGTTGGTCATTTGCTCCATGGGTTGATTCCCAAGTGTCTTTGCCTTCCTGCCAGGGTCTCTGAGCCCCTGCCAGGGCTTGGAGCCATCCAGGGCACCCAGAGGGATGTGCTGGGTTCCGACATAAAAGGTGACCAGCCAGGAGACCAGGGGAGAGCTGTCAGTGGTGAGATGGATCCTTGTCACCAGCCCCGAGCTCCGAGGATGTTTGACAGCACTGTGCTGCTCCTCAGTGAAAACTGAGCTGCCAGGAGATCCTCTTGGTCAAGAAACAATGGATTTCAGGCCAAAAGGGCCAGTGTCAGGGTATTTGGCAGCCCCCCTCCCCCTGGCCCCCAAGGCACGCTCCAGTGGTGCCCAAAGGACAGGGACTCACCCAGACCCTGCTCACTGCTCAGCTCCATTCCCCCAATCCAGCAAGGATCCCTTGAGCAGCCCTGCAGTGCACGCCAGGCTGATGTCCCCGGCCTGACTGGAGCTTTGGGAATCTTCCTGGAGCTGAAGGAGACCTGCAGGCAGCAGAGGGGTGAGCAGTGTCCCAGAACAGGCCAGGGATGGAGAGCCCATCCCTGCAGGTGTCCCCTGGGGGTGGCACTGAGTGCTCTGGGCTGGGGACAAGGTGGGCACGGGGCACAGCTGGCACTGCCTGGGCTGGGAGGGCTGTGCCAGCCCCAGGGATTTGGGGATTCTGGTCTAGTGGAGCCCCCGAGGGTCTGATGCAGCCGAGCTGGGCTCTGGTCCCGCTGCACCCCGACAGATGTCACCCTGTGGCCATCCCAGCCCATCCCAGCACGGCCCCAGCCACAGCTGGAGCTGTGCTGGAGCCCTCACAGCTGCTCTGGGGCCACCTGCACTCTGGGGACATTCCCCATTATTTTCCTTGTGCCTTTAAACATCCCAGGAATCTGAAGTCCTGACAATTTTGGCTGGAGCAGCAACCCTGCAGGCAGAGAGGGGCACAGAGCCCGTCCTGCAGGATTGCTGCCCCAGCCCCGAACAGCGCCCGGCTCCCGGGGGAGCTGCTCCGCAGAGACCGGGGATGTTTTCCTGCCTGACACATCAATCCCAGCAGGGAGCTCTGCCTCTCCAGCGTCTCTTCAGGTGTAATTAGAGACAGAAGCCAGAGAAGGTGGCAGCTTTTAACCCCCTCGGTGCCGATGACCTCGCAAACAGGGCTGTGCTTCGCTGCTCTGTGCCTGGTTTCTTCCAGTGTTTGGATTTGGAGATCTAAGAGCCATCACAGAACTATAGAAGGGCTTGTGCTGGAAGGAACCTGATAGATCATCGAGTTCCAGCCACCTGCCATGGGCAGGGACACCCTCCACTAGACCAGATCCCCAAATCCCTGGGGCTGGCACAGCCCTGCCAGCCCAGGCAGTGCCAGCTGTGCCCCATGGCCACCTTGTCCCCAGCCCAGAGCACTCAGTGCCACCCCCAGGGGACACCTGCAGGGATGGGCACTGCAAAGCTCCCTGGGCAGCCCCTGCCAAGGCCTGAGCACCCTTTCCATGGGCAAATTCCTGCTGCTGGCCCAGCTGAGCCTGCCCTGGCCCAGCCTGAGGCCGTTCCCTCTGCTCCTGTCCCTGTTCCCTGGAGCAGAGCCTGATCCCCACCCTACCCTTCCCCAGCTCCGTTGCCCCTCTCTGGGCAGTTCAAGGTTAAATTTGTGTTTAATTGCTGGGTTTGCAATCAAGACTGTTGTGGTATGTATTAATGATCCTTTCCAAACAACAGCAATCTGCCTCTTCCTGGCTGCTTTTCATCCCCAGCTCTAATCCAGGCGTGGAGAGGGAAGGCAGGAGCACCATCCCCATGGCACAGCTGGAGGATGATGATGTAACCAGGCAGATTTGGGAACCTGAACCGTGTTTGTTCAGTTCACTTGGTGCTGTGTCACCCTGCACCCCTGGGCTGTGCTGTGTGGAGCTCAGGCAGTGCAGCCCCTCTGCACCAAACCTTCAGCAAAGCCAACTGCAACCAAAACGTTCAGCAAATAAACCCCTTCCATTACTGGGGACTGTATCCAACCCCAGGGCAGCTGGGAGACTCGGGGACAGCAAGGGCAAAGGTGGGGAAGGGGCTGGAGCACAAGGGACCAGCCTGGGACCTTGTGGAGGGGAGGGGGGACAGCAGCTCTGCTCCAGGGAACAGGGACAGGAGCAGAGGGAACGGCCTCAGGCTGGGCCAGGGCAGGCTCAGCTGGGCCAGCAGCAGGAATTTGCCCATGGAAAGGGTGCTCAGGCCTTGGCAGGGGCTGCCCAGGGAGCTTTGCAGTGCCCATCCCTACAGGGGTTCTAAAACCATGGATGTGGTGCTTTGGGATGTGATGTGGTGGGGAACCAGCAGTGCTGGGGTAATGGTCAGGGTCAGTGACCCTAGAGGGATTTTCCAGCCTTAATAACTGGAGAGGAGAGGAGAGGAGAGGAACCCATCCCTGCAGGGGTTCTAAAACCGTGGATGTGGTGCTTTGGGATGTGATGTGGTGGGGAACCAGCAGTGCTGGGGTAATGGTCAGGGTCAGTGACCCTAGAGGGATTTTCCAGCCTTAATAACTGGAGAGGAGAGGAGAGGAGAGGAGAGGAGAGGAGAGAAGAGAAGAGAAGAGAAGAGAAGAGAAGAGAAGAGAAGAGAAGAGAAGAGAAGAGAAGAGAAGAGAAGAGAAGAGAAGAGAAGAGAAGAGAGGAATACTTGGAGGTCAGAGGAGATCTTCTAGGAGATCTCCAACTGCTACAGCCCTGTGTGTGTCCTTGTTGCCTCTATTGTCACCTCCAGGCTCCTGTGCCTCCCAATCCTCTTCCCACTTCTCCCATCCTCCTCTTTCTCCATCCCTCTCTTCCTCCAGCCCCCTTGCCTTGTTCCAACCCTTCCCTTTTCAGCCAAGTGGCCCCAACCCTTCCCAGTAAATCCAGAGCCCCAGCTCTGGCTCTGGCCCTGCTCACAGAGCAGATGTGGGCTGGGTGTCCCCATGGTGTGCCTGAGGTTTTCCTTCTGCTGCAGGAGAGGTGACCTGGGCCCTCAGCACCGTGGCAAAGACAGGTGCCATGTTCCAGCATGTTCTGTTCCCCAGCAAAGCAGCACTCCGCGACTGAACTTTGGAAAACAAGATGTGCGTGAGTTTTATCTGCACCCAGGAGAAATCAATCCATCATGCCTTCCTGCTCCCAGCCTCTATCAACTCTCTGAGAAATAAATGACTAGAAAATACAATACAGCATTCCGGGGTAGTTCATTCATTTTTCTTTATTAATTTTTTTCTCAGCACAAGAGGGAAAAAAAGGAACATATGGGGAATGAGCAGGAGCCATTTCTCAGTGCCATGGCCACCTGAAAAGGGTTTAGACCCATAATGCCTCTGAAAAATTCCTTCATATTTCCCAAATCACATTAGGCAGGTACAGATTGTTTTCGTTTTTATGATTTTTTTTTTACCTTTCTAAGCTCTATTAAACCAGAATATGCCAAAAATGACGGGACAGAATTGCCTTGAAGTCCCAGATGAGAGCTGTTTGTAACTCACCTAAATGAAAGTATTTATTTTGAAATAAATTGGGTTGGATTTAGCAGAAAAGGTTATACCAAGACTGAAGCTGTACCAGCACAGACTACAAAAATGAGGCTTGTTTTACTATCAGAATTCATTGGAACTGGGAAGAAACTGCACCAAACTCCACCAAACACTGCAGCACTGGGAGCCTGGCAGAGCCCTTGGTGAGATCTCCCATCCAAAGTCATGGCCAAGGACCCCTGAGACCTCTGTCCTAGAGAGCCAGCCCATGAGGAGAGGCTGAGGGAGCTGGGAAGGGGCTGGAGAATTGCTGAGGAGCTGGGAAGGGGCTGGAGAATTGCTGAGGGAGCTGGGAAGGGGCTGGAGATTGCTGAGGAGCTGGGAAGGGGCTTGCCAGCCCCGGGGATTTTGGGGATTTTGGGATGCTAATGGAGACACTGGGGCTTGAGAGCACCTGGGCCTCCTGATGGAGTGCAGGTCCGAGCAGTGCTGCTGCAGCTCCAGAAAGGTCTGGGCAGGGCCTTGTGCCACCCCCGGGGCAGCCAAACCCACGGTGCCCAAGCGGGAGCCCAGCCCTGGCGCTCCTGGCCCCTCCCTGAGGGATCTCTGTGTCTGCCCTGGTGGGAACATCCCCGACTTCCCCTGGAGTGTGCAGCCACAGTTCGTGAGGATGAGAGCACTGAGAGGGGTTCCATCAACGCACACACCTCTCCAAGGCGTGCCAGAGGATGCTGCCAGACTCTGTTCAGTGGTGCTAGTGACAGGACGTTTCAGGAATTCCCAGTGTGGAACACCTTTGGCTTGGAAACGAGACTTCCTTCAGCTTGGAATCATCACTGACATTTATAACTTCCTCTTTTTTCCCCTTGAGATGTTTTCATTTTATTGAATGCAATTACTAATTTTAATTATTTTTACAGTTGCTACCAGTACCTCTGAGTCTGGTTTTTCCACAGCATCTGCTATGAGGAGGTTAAGGGGTCTTGACAGAGCACACAGCAGGTCAGAACAAGACCACAGAGGTGGATGTTCTTTCTCTGAAATGCCTTTCTGCATCTGTAATGTCACTTTGGACAGGTGTCCTGTAATTGTTTTACTTAAAGAATGATGCTACATGCAAATTTTTTGGCAAAACTTCTGGAGCGTGAGTGTGCCCCACATGAAAACAATGAATTGACTAAATCATCCCAAACCATCCAGCATTTTCTCTGCCCTGCCACTGTTAGAGGTGAGAAGGGAACCAAGAGGAGCAATGTTGGGACATCAGTGTAAGTTTGCTGAGTCACTTTTCCCTTCTTGTGGAACCTTGCCAGGTCGGGCTCGGATTTAGATCACTGCAGTAGTTTCTCTGAGTTTGGTGAGGGCAGACACTCTGGGAAGGAGTTCACAATCAGCTTTTGCCTGGTGGCAGCACCTCGGAGCGCACGGAGAGGACACGGAGAGCGCACAGCACCAAAGGCTCTGGTGTAAAACGAGGGTGAGGACACGGGGCGGCGGCTGGGCTCGGGTCACCGGGGAGCTCTGGCAGTGACGTGGATCAAGCTCAGGATCCTCCTCTGGATCTGCTTGGTCCTCACCCCGTAGATGATGGGGTTGAGCACAGCGGGCACCAGGATGTAGACGTTGCCCATGACGACGTGGACCAGCGGAGCCAGGTCCTTGCCGAAGCGGTGCACCACGGACAGCCCGATCAGGGGCACGTAGAAGGCCAGCACCACGCAGATGTGGGCGATGCAGGTGCTGAACACCTTGAGCCGCTCCCTCCAGGCCGCGAGGCGCAGCACGGCCCTCAGGATGAGCAGGTAGGAGAGGCAGATGAGCACGGCGTCCAGCCCCATCACCAGCAGGATGGCGGTGAGCCCGTACACCACGCTGGGCGTGGTGTTGGCGCAGGCCAGGTTCATCACGTCCTGGTGCAGGCAGAAGGAGTGGGACAGCACGCGGGGGCCGCAGAAGGGGAGGGGCAGGAGGAGCAGGGGCAGCGGCAGGAAGAAGAGCACGCCTCGGGCCACGGCCAGCAGCCCCACCTTGGCCGTGGCGCCGTCGGTGAGCACGGCGGCGTGCCGCAGCGGGTGGCAGATGGCCACGTAGCGGTCCACGGCCATGGCCAGCAGCACGGTGGACTCGACGGCCGAGAGCGTGTGGATGAGGAACATCTGCAGCAGGCAGGCGGCGAAGCCGATCTCGCGGCTGCCCAACCAGTAGAAGCAGAGCGTGCGCGGCACGGTGGCGGTGGCCAGCGCCAGGTCGACGGCGGCCAGCATGCAGAGGAAGAAGTACATGGGCGCGTGCAGGCTGGGCTCGGCGCGCACCACCAGCAGCACGGCGCCGTTGGCCAGCACCGCCAGCGCGTAGGCCGAGCACAGCGGGACGGCCATCCAGGAGTGCGCCGCCTCCAGCCCCGGCAGGCCGGCCAGGATGAAGGACGGGCTGAGCTCAGAGCTGTTGGAGGAGGGCATGGCCCGCAGCGCCAGGGCCGCTCACGCCATGCCCGCGCGCTTCCCGCTGCGAGGGAAACGCCAACGGGACTTTTGACCAGCCCTTTCCCGTGGCTTGGGTCCCACGGGGCCGTCCCTGGGATTCTCAGAGCTGCCACGCTGGTGCAGAGAGCTCCTCTCTCCGTTTTTTACCCCGTTATGGCTCTGTGCAACAACATATATCAAAATGCTGACATTTGAGTTCGAACAGGAATCGCCTGGATTCTCTAAAAGGCAGAACACTGTAAAGTCAACCTTTGGAATAATAAACCCATCAGCTGAACTTGTTTGCTTTTCTTTTTAAAGGACAATATTAAAAATGATAACAAAAAACCCGTGAGATTTTTAGTGAGTTCTGTAGTACTTCAGTGCTGCTTGATTTTTTCCATATGTGCTGTGGTGGCCTGTCAGAAATGTGCTCAGTGAGGCTGAAGCTGGCAGCGCTGCCTCCCACGACCCAGCCCTCCCCTGAACAGCTCACAGGCACAGGAAGACACGGATCTTTCACATATTTTTGCACATACAAATTGGATTTTCATCCTATGAAAAACACGTATGGAAAAAACAGAATATCTGTAAAAAAAAAAAAATCAGATTATTTACCTTATTCTGTATTTGTAGATTTTCCAGGAGTGCTGTGATCCAAGGATAATGGCCTGAAGATACATAAAAGGCTTTGCTTTAGGATACTTTCTATTTTCAGGCACCTAGCCAGTACCTGTGCTGGAATAAACCCAACATCCCTCCTGCCCTGGATGGGCAGCACAAGGTCAAGCTCAGCCTGAGCTTTCTGGTTATTCCTTTGTGCCCAATCTGTGCAAATTAACCATGCAAAGTGGCTTTATGGCAAGCTCTGCAGGTTATTAATGGAGTTGGGTTGTGAAACATGGGGGTTTTATTGCACATCTGTGCTGAAGGCCTGAAATAGCGTCAGGCTTTATTCTCCTGATGTGGGGCTTTTCCATCTCGGATGTATAACAAGTAGGACTCACGTTGTAGCTTTTTATACCCGATTTACACACAGTGTGGGAGGACTGTTGCTGTCACTGCGCCCAAAATCTATTCCAGGGATGATGCTGTCAGCCAGGCTTTTGAATTAAGACACAAACGGAATGAACAAGGAGCCTCGGTAATCACCAGCAGGTACTGAGGCACCTCAGCTGCCAGCCCTGACGGAGTTACCCGAGTCCCACTGGAAAACTTCTGCCCTCCTGATCATTTCCCTGGGGAATGGGGCTGTGAGACGGGCACTGAAACAAGCCCTGATGATGCTTCAGTTCGTCTCTAATTCTCTGGCACTGATAAATGTAGTCAGGCTTTCTTGAGTGGCTCAGGATTTGAGATTGCTGGTGGGCAGAGCGGGCGCTGCGAGGGCCTGGGTTTCTGCAGAGAAGGAAACTGGATCCACCTCTTTGAAACACCAGTAAATGCAGATTTATTTGCCTAGGGGGATCCAAGCAGCACCCCCAGCAGTAAATCACAGAATCACTGAGGCTGGAAACCCAGGATCATTGAGTCCAACCTTTGAGCAATCCCCGCCTTGTTAAAGAACCAGGGGATGGCTTGGGTTGGGAGGAACCTTAAAGTTCATCCTGTTCCTTCTCCTGCCATGGCAGGGACACCTTCCCCTGTGCCAGGCTACTCCAGCCCCAGTGTCCAGCCTGGCCTTGGGCACTGCCAGGGATCCAGGGGCAGCCCCAGCTGCTCTGGGAATTCCATCCCAGCCCCTGCCCACCCTGCCAGGGAACAATTCCTCATTGCCCAGATCCCATCCAGCCCTGCCCTCTGGCACTGGCAGCCATTCCCTGGCTCCTGTCCCTATCCCCGCCTCGTTAAAGAACCAGGGGATGGTTTGGGTTGGGAGGAACCTTAAAGTTCATCCTGTTCCTTCTCCTGCCATGGCAGGGACACCTTCCCCTGTGCCAGGCTGCTCCAGCCCCAGTGTCCAGCCTGGCCTTGGGCACTGCCAGGGATCCAGGGGCAGCCCCAGCTGCTCTGGGAATTCCATCCCAGCCCCTGCCCACCCTGCCAGGGAACAATTCCTCATTGCCCAGATCCCATCCAGCCCTGCCCTCTGGCACTGGCAGCCATTCCCTGGCTCCTGTCCCTGCAGGCCTTGTCCCCAGTCCCTCTGCAGCTCTCCTGGAGCCCCTTCAGGCCCTGCCAGGGGCTCTGAGCTCTCCCTGAAGCTTCTCCTCTCCAGGAAAAACCACCCCAGCTCTCCCATCTTTCCTCTCCTTCTTTCTCCTCTTTCCCTTCCCCTTCCTCTCCCCTCCAACCTTTATCTCTCCCTCTTTCATTCCCCTCCACCCCGCTCTCCAGCTGTGCTGACAGATGTGCTGATAAATGCCCCACACTTTGCCCTCCAGCTCCCCCACAAACATTTCCTTACTGTGGCAGAGGCTCCTCAGGCTTTTTGTTTCGGAGCCATTTTGGAGAACAGCGGCGGCCAGGAAACACGGACATCCAGGGATGAACTCTGGAAGTTTTCAGAATGGGAGCACACTCAGAACCTTCTCAGAATTCTCAGTCATCAATTTCAGAATCCGGTGTGAGGATGCTGCAAGCCAGGCATCTCCACAGCAAAGCTCTTTCCTCCTGGCTGTCGTTCTGGTGCGTTATTTTTCCCTGCAAGCTCCGGTTTAGGTCAGAGCTATTTGAGCAGAGCTCTCCCCGTCCCAGTGCCAGTGGGAGCTGCTCCCCAGGCTGAGCTCCTGGGGGCTGCTGGTGTTCCACCCGGGGAAGGGACCCTGGGACACAGCGAGATAACGAGCACAACACAGAGCAAGCCGTGGCCTGGGAATCCTCCCCTCAGGAATCCTCCCTGCCCTCTTGCTGCTTTTTTATGGAGCTGTTTCCGCATTATTTTTTCTCTCGGTTTTTTCCTCTCCAGCTACTGCACATGGGCTGGTGAAGTGCTCAGTGTCAGGCAAAACCAGGACAGTTCAGGGCTGGGATCCTGTCCCGGTGCCTGTGCTGCCTCATCCCTCCCAGGTCAACACAGACTGCTGCTGCTTCTTCTGCACCGTGCTCAAGCCTGGCCAAAACGTGGTTTGAGATCAACAGAACTACAGCTCTGCCATTTGGAGGAGTGGAATGTTTACAGCTGGCTCTTGGTGTTCTAGGGGGGGATAGTCACGGCTCTGGGAGGGCTTTTCCAACCCTAGTGGTTCTGTGATTCTGTTCTGTGACTTTGGGACCCTTTATTCTGTCTGTGGGAGCCAGGAGAACCAAGAAACCTTCCTGCCTGCCTGGCTCCCACCCAGCCTCCAGCAGAGCGAGGAGGTGCTGGGGCACGCTGCCATCTCCCACCTGCGGATGCCCCTGGGGTCTCCTCCCGTCCCCGAGGGGCACAGCCAGCACCAGCAGAGCTCAGATGGAAGGCAGCAGCTCGGGGGCCTGGCTGTCAGGAAGTTTAGCCATTCCTACAATGTTTTTGAACTCTCTTTTTTTGCAAGAGAGCTTCCAGCCCCACCAGACCCCCAAGCCCATCCAGACAAACACCAGGCTCGTCCAGTGCCGCTCATCTGCAGCACACCCTGAAGATTTTAGGCAACTCCAAACTAATCCTTCTGCATCATACAGACAGAAAAAAAGTCTTCCTGAAGTCTTGTGACCTTTCACGAGGAATAGATGGATTTTATTGCAGATGCTGCACATACATGACACTCACTGCAGAACAATGACTGGGACATTAATTAGACTTGGCAAGCTGGTAAGGATCAAAGACTTCCAAAGAGATGCACGAGCAGCTGTTTTCTCACCGGGGAGGGGCACGGCACTCTGAACAAAGGGATGATATCTGAGCAGGTTTTTCAGAGGGGCTGAGAGTGCTCTGGGCCCCCCAGCCTGGCCTAGTGAGAAATGCTCTGTGCAGGAAGGGAGGAAAGCACTTGCTAGGGCACAACATGAAAGCTCACAGCTCTGGGCTGGGGGACAGCACCCCAGTGGATCTGCAGCTCTTTCCTCTGGCAGTGACCTGCATGGAGGGAGCACCAGGAGAGCAGTGCACCAGCTCTGACTGGGAAACCAGGCCAAGAGCTCTGACCAAGAAACCAGTGCCAGGGGTGTGACAGAGCCCCCAGTGCCACTGACAGAGAGCCCAGTCCATGAGCACTCTCTGGCAGAAGTGCAGGAGCAATCTACCAGTCAGAGGCAGGCTTCCTGCACAGGGCCCTGAGCAGCGCCTCGCGGATGTGGGTGCATTTGATGCTGTAGATGAGGGGGTTGAGGGCGGGGGGAATGATGAGGTAGGTGTAGGCCACCAAGGTGTTAACGAGGGGAGGAACGTTCCTGCCAAAGCGGTGGATCATGGACAGCCCGATCATGGGGATGAAGAACACCAGGACAGCACAGATGTGCGAGACGCAGGTGTTCAGAGCCTTCAGACACTCCTCCTTGGTGGTGAGGCCGACGACGGTTCTGATGATGAGGATGTAGGACAGCACGATGAAGACGAAGTCCGTCCCCACCGTGGACAAGAGAATGATCATGCCGTAGAAGACGTTGACCTTTATGTCTGCGCAGGCCAGGTTCATGATGTCGGGGTGGAAGCAGAAGGAGTGGGACAGCTCCGTCCTGCCGCAGTAGGTCAGCCTCTTGAGCAGGAAGGGAATGGGGAGCAGCGAGAGCACGCCCCTGAGCACGATGGCCAGGCCTATCTTCAGCACCGTGCCCTTGGTCAGGATGGCCGCGTGCCTCAGCGGGTGCGAGATGGCGATGAAGCGGTCAAAGGCCATGGCCAGGAGCACGGAGGACTCGATGAAGGACAGGATGTGGATGAAGTACATCTGGGCGAGGCAGGCGTCGAAGGCGATGCGGCGCGCGCCGAACCAGAAGAGGCCCAGCGTGGTGGGCAGGGTGCAGAGCGCCAGGCCCAGGTCGGTGACGGCCAGCATGGACAGGAAGTAGTACATGGGCTCGCGGAGGCTCGGCGTCCTCCCGACGATGAACAGGATCACGCAGTTCCCCAGGAGGGCAGAAAGGTACAGGGCACAGAAGGGGATGGAGATCCAGGGGTGAAGGGCTTCCAGGCCCGGGATGCCCATCATGAGGAAAGCTGAAGGCTGATGGAAGGAGCCATTGAGTTCCCACGGGGTGCGTGAGTCATGCTCCATCCCAGCTCAGCTCTCACATGGCCTA